CTGGCAACCGTGTGTCGTCATATCAAATCAAATCAAATCAAATCAAATATGCTTTATTCATAAAGTACAGTTTTGTACATTGAATGGCGTCAACAAACTTAAATCTATCTTAAATTAATAATTTACAAATTTGCATATCTTGGATCATTATGTACATTAAAAACTAAGAACCAGGAAATGAAAATAATCAAAACTGAATTAATTACTAATGCTAAGAAGGGAGGTGGAAAAATACTCTTCCAGGGAATATAACGCTTTCTCTACTAAATAAAGTTTTAGTTTTCTCATGAAATTCTTCCTGCTTTGTTCATTTCTGATTTCATTAGGAAGATGCTTAAAAAATTTTAATCCTATATAGGATGGTTTTTTTTCATAGAATTTTAATTTGTGTTTACTAGAAATAAGGAATTTTTTATGCCGAGTGTTGTATGGGTGATAATTTGTCTCAGAGGTGCTCAAGGAGTTTTTTGCTAGAATAATTGTGTCGTAAATGAATTGGCCATATACCGTTAAAATTTTCAGTTCTTTGAATTTGTTTTTGGTTGTTTCGTTGTGTTCTAATTTCAAAATTATTCTTATTGCTATTTTTTGAAGTTTAAGTATCCTATCCAAATTTGCTATTGTAGTTGAACCATAAAGGCACAAACCATAGGATAAATGCGAATGGACATTAGCATAATATATGTTTTTTAATGTTTTATGGTTACAAAAATAAGACATTCTAGAGAGTGAATATAGTCCTGAACATAATTTTGAAAGGAGTTTATCAACATGTTCATCCCAGTTTAAATTTTGGTCTACAATTAGACCTAGAAACTGTGTACTTTGTTTATGTTCAATTTCTTCTGCATTATACATGATATTTGGTTTAATTAACTTTTTGTTTTGATTTGTTTTAAAAGTTAAAAAGTTAGTTTTTTTGGGATTAAGCTTCAATTTGTTTTGCTCTAGAAAGTTTCCAATGTTTGCCAATTCAACAAAACTCAAAATTTCAACTTGTTGCACTGACTCAGCCGATACTTTGAGATTTGTATCATCCGCATAAAAACAAAGATTGTTCTGAGGCAAACATGAGAGTGCACCACCAGCATCATTTATATAACATAAAAACAACAGGGGGCCAAGGATTGACCCCTGGGGTACCCCACATTTAACCCTTTCAGTTTCAGAAGAAAATGTCGTAATTCTGTTATCATGATTATGTGTGATTTCTACAAACTGACAACGATTATTTAGGTATGACTGAAACCATTTTATTGATTTTTTTGTAACCCCTAAAATGAGTAATTTATCTATCAGTTGGGTGTGGTTGACACTATCAAATGCCTTAGTTAGGTCCATGAAAATTCCAATTGTGAACTCCCCTTTATCAACCGATTCAATTATAGATTCTATGAATGACACTGCTGCTGTAATTACAGATTTTCCAGGCCTAAATCCATGCTGAGTATTGTTTAATAGTTTAAATTCTTCTAAATAATTTAATAACTGACTGTTAACAATTTTTTCATAAATTTTTGATATTACTGGTAGGAGAGAAATAGGACGGTAATTTGACACAGTTTCTAGGTCGTCTTTCTTATAAATTGGTATTATTTTAGATTTTTTTAATTGATTTGGAAAAATTCCTGATACAAAAGATGAATTTATTAAATGACTTAAAATATGGCTCAGACATTTTTTGGCATGCTTTATAACTTTAATAGGGACATCATCGTGTCCAACAGAATGTTTGTTTTTTAAAGAGTTAATTACTTTTTCCACCTCCCCCGCATCAATAAATTTTAAATCAAAACCTCTTTTAATACATTGCTCATTTTCAATAAGACTTTGATTTTCAATCTTGCTCTCACATTGGTTGCCACTGACATCCTGATCAACATTAGTAAAATATTTGTTGAACATGTTAGCAATAGTTCTAGGATCACTTAAGCTACAATTTCCCTCTTTCAAAGTAATATTTTTATTTCTTGTTCCCTTTCCTTTCCCAACTTCAGAATTTATAATCTGCCATACTGTTTTTTGTATATTGGCTGATTTTTGTATTCTATTTTCAAAATAATTTGTTTTAGCTCTGACTAGTTTTGCCTTATATTTCAGTTTGTTTTGTTTTAACTCGTATTTCAAGGCAGGATTTTTGTTTCTACGAAGTTTTAAGGCCAATTGTAGTAGTTCTTTTTTTTCATTTTTCAGGTCTTCTGAGATCCAATTTTGTTTGCGTTTCTTTTCTGTTACAGTAATTTTGGGAAACGAAATGTCAAAAAAATGCTTAAATGTACTATAAAATTCATCATATTTTCTTTCAACAGGAGCCATGTAAACACTCTCCCAAATCTCATTTTCCAAGAGGTTTTTAAATAAATTCAAATTTTGAATATTAAAGTTACGAGTTGTACGTTTTATAGTTGATTGAACCTCTTTTGTATTATTTAGGTTTTTATTTTTTATAAGGAGCAATTGCCCATCATGATCTGATAGACAAGTTACAATTCCCTCAACAGTCACTTTGCAATCATGACAGTTTTTAATTATAAAGTTATCAATTGCCGATTCAGATTCCTCAGTAACTCTAGTTGGGAAATTGACCAGATACCTCATTTTATGAACTTTTAGTGTTCTTTTTAGTAATTTATGATTAGGGTTATTTTTTAGAACATCAATGTTTATATCCCCTCCTAAAATTATATTAACAAACTTTTTGGAAAAGTGGGAAATTAACATGCTTAACATAGCGACGAGCCAATCACGCACTCGCACTGCAATGTATATTACGATACGGATAGCTGTCAGCTGTGCTAGAAAGACACCGTGATGATAGGTGGTAGTTTGTCACTTTCCTATCTCCTCAAAATTACGATCGATAATCATTGCGTCTTGATTGAGCTGAGGTTCGTGCTTATCAAACCTCGAATGCATGAACAACGTAGAATTGTGATAACATTGTTTTCAATTACGACCCAAATTAAGTGGTTTTTTAGTTTTGACAGTATTAAAAGCTCGGCTCGAACTTCGAGCTTTTTCAAAATGCCTCGAGCCGAGCCGAATAATGAAAAGCTCGACCAAAAAGCTCGAAGATTCGAGTACTCGCACACCCCTACATTCCATAGAGAGATTATTTTGACAACATTATCATCACGATTCATCACGTTTCAGATGTTTTACTCATCATAGAAAGTTATGTTATTGATAAGGCTGAGACAACTAACTGACATCCCCCAAGTCAAGGAATTCCAGCTTTAATAGTAACCCCACAATCAATTTCTCAAAACTATGCTAGAGGGTTCATTCATTGGCACAGAAGTACAATATTAACTGATGCGACGTGACGAAGGAAAATTCAAACTTACACTGTTGTAACGGATATACCTCCCTTTGAAGTTAGAATATGCCTTCCCAAAAAATATTTTCTTTTCAAATAAAATCACAATACACTGATGAAATCACAGAAGTGTTTAGCTACAAAAGACCTACCAATGTGATTTTAATACTATTTAAAGGTTCTTCCAAAGTAAGAGATATCATATAACACTAATAATAACTCCAATGACGAACGGTATGGGAAATATTTTAATCATTGAATGGCCAACCAAATTTGGCAACTAACGCAATTAAAATCATTATTGTTTTTACACTTATTACCCTTTAAACAATGCTAAACGCTCAAAATATGCATATTTTACCCAATTTATCGTAGTTAGATAAATTAACGTAAGCCTTGAAAGTAACCGTCGATTTCGACAGGTTTCACCTACTCTATATGGAATAGCTGATGCAATTTTTTTATTAAAATAGGACATAGGTATGTGAGCCAGTCACAGAATGCGTTAGGGACTAAAATTCAATTTTCTACCTTATTTATTGTTGATGACCAAGTTAATCATAAAAGTTGCTATAGCTTGTTGAAGCTATATGACTTTGTTAAAAAGTCTGTGTATTTGACATAAATTAGTGCTTTAGATCAGCACAATCTATCGGTGGCTCGCATCCACTACGACGATTTTGATTAAAAGACTGGCGACAACTTTAACATGGGAATGGAATGTCTAGTTGTATTAGGAAGATTTTATCCCTACAAACATTAACTGTCAATTAAATTTGTCGCTTAGGACAGTTTTAGGAAGGTGTTTCGTAACCCTCTACCAACCTTTTAATTTAAGGTATTATTCCTAAGTGTATAACAAATTTAAATATTACATTTCAATCGTGTGATAGTCTATGATTAACCACAGAGGTACCATATGTATTTGTAAAAAATTGCTTTTATACATTAAAACCATGATACTTTTTTTTGCAAGAATATTAATACTAACGTCACTAGCACCTGAAAGAAGTATCAAAATTTTGTAATGTAAAAATTCTAAATGGCGGCCATTTTAGTTTTTTGAACAAGAATAACTTAAAAACTGTGAATCATATTAAAAAACACAACAATTATGTTTTATTGGAAATATGAATACAAATAATGTAACAAAAATGCAATAATAAATAACCGAGATATGATATTTTGTGTTGCGCACCTAGTAGTGCTTATGAAACTATCATATTGGTTCGGTCATTGTCACACTGTTGCAGATAATAACCAGAGTACTTTGACCTAGACTGGACTGTCCGACCTTGGCACTAAGAAGGTTGAAATCTCTAGGAAGGTTGCAACTTAGGAGACAAGACGAATGGGCGTCTCACAGCTTCTAGGCTATGTAAAATGACTAGGGCTGTCAAACTGAGCTGAGGGGTGTTATAAAAGATCAAAATATCAAATTAGCTAGGAGTAAAACTATCCCCCCCCCCAAAAAAAAAAATCTTTAAGGAGAAGTGTTGCCACAGATATTTCTGGCACACTCGGCTGACTAAAACTGTACTTTAATAAAGATAATAACCAGTTGAACAAAAGTAAAGTGGTGAATAGCCAAGTAGCTGTGCAGATGTGAGATGCCCAATTTAAGTGATATTTTTGCTTTAAGGTTACATAAATCAAGACACATACAAGGATTCCAGCCTACCTTTATTGTGATCTAAAAACTCTTCCGTGAATATTGGAATGTCAAATCCAGTAAAAATTTGTTCTGCCTCTTTTTCAACCATTTCCTACGACAAAAAAGACACACTTTTCAGCATAAGCTTTTACTTTTAAATAAATGTAATAACAGTTTCGAAAAAATTATACATACAGCAAAACTTAAATAATAAAATAAAATATAAATTATTTAACTAACTTTTAATAAGAGGTAATGTTACAATAATTTCTTAGTCTATATTGTTCATCAAGTTAAAAGAATAACTATAAACCTCAACTAGTAATTTATAAGTTTATTGGTATAGGATATAGGTCTAATTCAGGAATTCCAAATCTTTCTCGACCAGCATTTTTTTATAGTTTAAATATTTTGATATACCACTTGGGCGACACTAATATGGAGAACAGAGGTTTATTTTAATTTTAAACGTGTTTAAAGATATGTACATTGTTTTGAGCTAAGCCACTAATTTAAGGTTACATTTTCACTTTGAAATATAAAATAGGAGAGATATGTTCTTTAGTTATGTTGTGTTCGTGGGTTGAATTGGACTTAGGAAGTGGACTGCTGAAATAAATACGATATTTTACATGTTTTAGACACGGCTACAAACGGGTGGTTAATGTTCGAATTCTGGAGGTAGACTGACTGTTGTAGGGACGTACGGACATGGACGGTGGTGTGATGTAGGTGGAGAGGGAATCAGGTGATGTTTGTAGCCAATGAGATTTATTGAAAATCATACGATTCATAGTGGCGTGATGTACAAGGAAATCATAGCTACAACGGATATTAATATTCTTAAGATATATTACAATTTCCTCCCTTTTAAATTTGAACAAAACACTGCAAAAAAATGTCAACTTTTAATATATAGTCCATTGGTGGTAGAGTGATATTTCTTGACGCTTAACCTAATCAACAATCAGAAAATGTATAATCATCATTGGGTATAACACAGTATTTAACATCAAGAATCATGGTAAACAGCAAACACACACAAATACAAATTGGTAAAAGAATCATAAGTCTAATCTATTTACAGGTTTCCTAACGCGTTCAGGATTGCGTCGTGGTGGAATTCGACAGGTGTTACTACTACTACTATCACTACTACGCACAGCTGATTTTACGCACGCGGATACGGGCGTAGTACTATGTGTGGGGGAAGGGGGGAGTGACTTCCTGGCTGGTGGTGTAGATCGCCACGCTGGAGAAGCGGGGAGTGACCTCCTACCATTCGCTGGGGTGGTTGCCATGCCAACCGGCTTGCTGACTACGTCCTTGGCGGGGGAAGAAGTACAATGCCTCTGGTATTGCGGCGTTGCCAACTCTGGGTCTGAGCTAGCGGATGTAGGGGTTGCCACGTTTCTATGTACAATATTTTCAGCAAAACCCGTATCTCTGTGCAGCGGACTGTTATTTAAACCGATCAGCTGATCTATGTGACGCTTAGTAACAATGCCTGAACTTAACTCTATTTCATACATAACAGGACTGATTTGCTTGTGTACAGTACCCTGTAACCATTTGTTGTTTGACCTATAATCTCTCATCAAAACAGTTTGACCTGGATAAACTATCCTAGTACTCTTTGACTTAAAACTATTTTTACATTCTTCTTGTTTCTTATTTACAAAATGTGTTACGTTTGGTCTCAATAGATCCAAACGGGTGCGCAGTTTTCTGCCAAACATCAGTTTACTGGGTGTTTCATTGGTAGTTGAGTGAACAGAGTTTCGATAATCGAACAATATTCTACTCAAGGCTACGTCAACATTTACATTGTCATGAAAAGCACGCTTTATTTTGTCTTTAGCAAACTTAACGCTGTTTTCAGCTTGCCCATTACTTTGAGGATGGTAAACAGGACTGAATGTGTGTCTGATACCGTTCATTTCCATGAAATGTTTGAATTCAGCTGACGTAAATGGTGGTCCATTGTCAGAGTGTAGATTAACAGGTAATCCAAACCTACTGAATAATTCTCTTAAAAACTGTATAGCTAGTTTTGCGGAAGTTGAACTAACTTCACCTACTTCCAACCATTTTGAGTGAGCGTCAATAACGATCAAATACATTTTATTTTTGAAAGGCCCTAGGTAGTCAACATGAATGCGTTCCCAAGGAGTGGATGGGTAGTGCCAAACGTGTAATTGGCTTTTAGACGGATTTTTCTGTGTTTCTGACTTTACATGTTCAAATGTCAAAGGTAATGAACTCTCCCGTAAACAATGTAAATAAGTACCTTGCCACGCAAACTCATCAGTAGCATTGTTGTGATTAACACTCAACGGCAATCTAGATAACAAATCTTCGTTGTTTTGATCCGATTTTACTTCACCTACTTCCAACCATTTTGAGTGAGCGTCAATAACGATCAAATACATTTTATTTTTGAAAGGCCCTAGGTAGTCAACATGAATGCGTTCCCAAGGAGTGGATGGGTAGTGCCAAACGTGTAATTGGCTTTTAGACGGATTTTTCTGTGTTTCTGACTTTACATGTTCAAATGTCAAAGGTAATGAACTCTCCCGTAAACAATGTAAATAAGTACCTTGCCACGCAAACTCATCAGTAGCATTGTTGTGATTAACACTCAACGGCAATCTAGATAACAAATCTTCGTTGTTTTGATCCGATTTTACATATTGAATGTCAAATTCGTAACCGGACAAGAACAAAGCATATCTTTGCATGCGACCAGCAGCAAAATTAGGCAATCCCTTTTTTGAGCCAAAAATACTTAGAAGCGGTTTGTGATCAGTATACAAAACAAACTTTCTCCCATACAAATATTGATTGAATTTTTTGACTGCAAAAACAATAGCAAGAGCCTCTTTTTCTATTTGTGAATAGTTTCGCTCAGCTGTTGAGAGTGTGCGTGACTGATACGCTATCGGTTTCTCTACGCCATCTGGTGAGACAATACTTAAGACGGCGCCTAGGCCTACTGAGCTAGCGTCTACGGCTAATTTTAAAGGTAAATTGGTGTCATAGCGAGCCAAAATAGGGGCATTAGAGAGTAGCTCTTTTACCTTGTCAAAAGCTACAATACAATTCTTATCAAAATTGAAGGGTGTGTCCTTTTTGAGCAGGTTGTACATAGGACTTAATATAGTGGAACAATTAGGAATGAACTTCGAATAGTAGTTAATTAGACCTACCAAAGCTTTGACTTCTGTCACTGTTTTAGGAACTGGAGCGTTTTTTATAGCTTCTACCTTAGATTCGGAAGTGTGTAGACCTTGTTTGTCAATTGTCGTAACCTAACGTTACGCTAGAAAAGTGGACGATATAGCAAGAGAACCACTTACGTTCGTTGGTGGACATAGAAGAAGGAGCCGTGACGAATCATCCCACTTCAGGGCTCAGTGCACAGTGCAGCCACCCCGCAAAACATAATAACTCTTCCGTTACTAATAATATTATGACTGTTCATATATGAAACTATAATGACTTCTACTACACTCGTCTTCCCCATAAAAAAAAGTCAATATCATAAATTCAAAATTAACTCAACTTTCAAAATAAAATAAATTCACTTTCAATAAAATGCAACCAAAATTTCTTCTTCCCATTATTCATTAATAATTTTACAAGTCCAGCCTGTGAGGCTTTCGCACAGTCCGTGCAGACTTCCTCAGCGAGGGTGGTGGGCTGCACTGTGCTAGCGGCGACGCAGGAGTTGGCTGAGGCTGGGCTTGCCCTAGGCTCTCCCTGGGACTGGTAGTAGGCCTAGGTACAGGTGACATCATCATGGGACTAGTTGGTCGATCTCCGGCGGGGGTGAATTCTTGGGTACTTGGGGTGATACAACGGGATCCTTGGGTGATACAAAAATCTCCTCCTCTTCTGCATACCGAGCTCTCAAGTGATCCGCATGACAAAATCGGGGTTTTCCACCAATAACACTCACCAGATAGGTGACCGGACTTCTCTTTAGAATTATTTTGCCAGGAACCCAAGATATCTTTTCATTTCGGACAGTTTTGACATAGACTGCCTGACCTTCTGAGAAAAATCTGCTTCTTCCCCTAAGCCTATCAGCTGCATCTTTTTGTTCCCTGTGTTTTTGATCAATGGATGACTGGAGATTGGGTTTTAACATAACCAACTGAGTACGAGGCTTCCAAGACAGTAACATTTCTGCAGGGGTTAAGCCAGTAACTGTATTTGGAGTGTTGCGGTACGCAAACAAGAAATTATCTAATTTCATTTGAAGAGTGGTACGCTGAGAACGCTGATGTTCCTCAATCACTTGACGCAAAAGGTTTTTCTTGACCTCCTGAACACTTCTCTCCGCAGATCCATTTGAAGCCGCATGATACGGGGGAGTTAATGTGAACTTCACATTGTTGTTATGCAAAAAGGTTTTGAACTCTTGACTAGTAAAAGATCTTCCGTTGTCCGACACCAGTTCGACAGGCAATCCATACGATGAAAACAAGGTACGGAGTTTCTCAATAACCTTGGAAGAATTCATGGAACTCATGATAAATACCTCTAGCCATTTAGAGTATGTGTCAATCAAAACTAAAAGTTGCTGTCTCGACTCTGGATCCTCCGCAAAGTCAATGTGTATCCTCTGCCATCGGGTTGATGTTGTAGGCCATTGCTGCAACGGTACTTTAGGTATCGAATTCCTAGTTAACTGACACGCAGAACAAGAGGCCACCACGTCTTCAATCGACTTCTCCATGCCTGGCCACCAGACATAACTTCTCGCCAGCATCTTCATGCGTGTAACTCCCGGGTGTTGATCATGCAACATTTGAAGCACAGATGAATACAGTTTCTTTGGAATCACTACACGAGAACCCCACAGCAAACAACCTTGTTCCACGGACAACTCGTCCTTCTTCCTTAGAAAAATAGCTAGTTCCGGCTCAACCGAGCTCGTCCAGCCGTACATCACAAAATCTCGGACCTTCGAAAGAATCGGATCCTTATCCGTCATTTTACCTATATGCAAGGCAGTAATAGGTGCAATGTCCTTGACAACACAGAAATTGTTCATCACTTCTGTACACATATCTACATGTGAAACAAAATTAGCATCCAGCTCTA